TTGAAGAGATGTATGAGGTAGCCTCGATACAGGGGAAGGAGTTGACTAATATATGATGGAGCGTGATGTTTAAAAGTGTTTTGAGGCCGGGCATGGTGGCACACACCTTTAATCCCGGCACTTGGGAGGCAGAGGAAGGCGGATCTTTGTGAGTTCGAGGTCAGCCTGGTCTACATAGTGAGTTCCAGGACAGCTGGGGCTACAAGGAGACCCTATCTCAAAGAGACAAAAAAAAAAAAAAAAAAAAAAAGTGTTGAGTTGCAAAACTGAAGAGGTAGTAGTACCCTTCTCAGAGATAAGGAATTTGGGAGGACTTGGGGGAAATGGTATAGCTTTGGCTACATTGCGTTAGGAGCATATTTAAGAGGTGCAAAAATGAGATTCATCAGGAACTGACAATATTTTCTATAATAGAGAAGAGATATGGATTAGGACATAAATTTGTGACATACTTATTAACTGGGATTTCATAGTTATGAGAATAAGGGTTAGAATAGTGAGGAGTGAACAGAGGGAGAAAAAGAACAGTCAAAATGGTAGAAATGAAAAAAGGCAAAGAGAAATGGTGACCTGATCAGCCAGGTGCTGTGCTGACATATCAAGAATGAAGCTGGACTTGTGGGCAGAAGAGCGACTACAAAGTAAGGATATGGGGTTACTGAGTGTTCACTTTTTGAAGTAGTTTGGCTTTGGAGGGAAGAAGAAAGAGTAAGGTTGTTGACTTTGTTTTTTATTGCATATTAATGAAAGGTATTTGAACATATCAGCTATGAAAGAATGGGTTGAAAGAAAGTTGAATATACAAGAGAATATACAAGGAAAACTTATAGAAAGTGGACAGGTTTGTAAAAGCAGGGACCAATCCCTGTGTACCCATGACACCCTTATGCTGACCTTTGTAACCATGACCAAAGTGCTCTTGCAGTAGCTGGATCTCTCCCTAGACAGTACTCCACGAGGACAGGAAATTACCTCTGCCTCATTTATTTCTGGATCTTTGTTTGCTATGTGCTTAGATTGGAGTCATGGATAAGTAACATTTTTAAAAGGAAATTGTGCATTTAAAGTAAGTGGAATAGAGGTATATTTAATAAAACATAATTCAAAAGTCTTATAGCATTTATATATATATATATGCATGCACACACACACACACACACACACACACACTCACACACATATACACCATGGTTGTTGGTTTCTGAGAATAAAATTTTAAAATAAGCACCATTGCCTTAAGCTGAGCTATTTGGGTACTAAGTTGAGAAGGCTTTAAAATGAGACAGCAGTTGAAAGCCAACCAAGAACTAAGGACTCTCCATCAATAGATGAACAAAGCCATGAGTCATCTTTGTGCAGAGAATTGAACTATGATAAGATCAAGGAAGCAAGCGATGAAATCACAGCCTGTGAAGACAAGCAGATGCATTATGCACACTAATCCAGGTGAAATCCCAAATAACAGGACTTCTGTGTCTATATCTGGGATGGTTTGATGACCTACCAAGTCAAGAAAGCCAGAGAGAGAGAGAGAGAGAGAGAGAGAGAGAGAGAGAGAGAAGAGACAGAAAGACAGAGACACATGGAGAGACAGAAACAGAGACAGAGACACACAGAGAGGCAGAGATAGTTTTGGAGGCAGTATCAGATGTCTCATTAAAGGAAGCAAGTTCACAGAGCAAAAAGAAAATCCAGCTCAGAGAGGGGAGGGACTCATGAGGCCCCACACCCAGCTGAGGGGCTATTGGCAGTCAATGTTTGCAAGGGGAAAGAGTCAGTTTTCTTCAGCAGTGGCACTGGGAAGTTGCTCATAGTTTAGCAAATAGCCCCCTATCCATGCTCATGCTGGTAATCCCAATTATTCTCAGTGGGTCACAAAAGAAAAGGCATGAAAGTACAAAGGGGACTTGTTGCAAAGAAGGGTCCAGAGGGAATGAGAAGGGTGATTGAAATCAAAATACATTGTGTACATGTATGGAATTATTAAAGAACAAATTAAAAATTTTTTTACAAGTATACATTTCTTTCCTGGCTTTTCCATTTTTTTTAAGTAAGTTCTTTGGTCTGGACTCAGTTTCTTTATCTGTGAAATTGGGGATAATTGGACCTTATTGTGGGGGTAGGGCGTATAAGGTAAAAAAGATAACAGATCACTTAAAGCACTGTATGCAGACCAGCTGCTTAGGAATCAGAATACAGAGATGATGTCTTGAAATCCTGAGTTGGAAATGTCATTGAACATCCAAGGGAATGTGGATGTGTGGAGGCTGCAGACATACATTTAGGCATCATCTAAAGGTAGGGTGATGTGGTCATATCATTTGGCATTATATGATGATCCCAGAGAGATCAAAGGTATATGACAACGACTGAGGAGTGGCCCTTAGGTTTGGCATCAGAGGCGATCACAAAAGCTGAAAATGAAAGATTCATTCCCCTAAAGACAAGTAGAATACCAAGAACAGGCATAAAAGTATGGTGTATATTTATATGTTGAACTGCTCCCAGTTAGGAAACAGTTTTACAGTGAGTCAGATCATAATTTTGTAATTGATTTATGAAAATCATTTACTATTTCATGGCCTTAACTTGAGGTTAATATTACATATTGTCTCCATGGAAGCCACTTAATGGTGCAGTGGCTTAGTTAAAACTAGACTAGGAAGAACAAACTGCCAGTGATTTACAAACCAGCAGAATAGATCACATTGAAACCCCACAGGATAGATAGCTGAACAACTTAGTTTCTATTGGTTTTCACAAATGCTTCAGCTTTAGAAAGGATTTTTTTTTTTACTCACATGCCCCTTTCTTTGATAAACAAGTGTTTTAGCTTGGACAGCTATTCAGGATGACCTGGATGGGGGCCCAGTGCATGTCTCTTCACTCCAAGATGGGATTGTTCAACCTTTCTTCCATCACAGTCTTTTCCAACCAGGGAGCCAATCTCTACCTCATAAAATTCTTATAGTATTAAAATATACCTAATATGAATATCACCCATTTGTGGATGTGCAATTATGTACTAAATAATATATTTATGATATCTATCCCCAAAACTTTTCATCATCTTCAACATAAACCCCCTGTTCTCCACTTCCCTTAGTCCCTGGTATGTTAGTCTGCTTTCTGTTACTGTGACAAAATACCTGAGATAAACAACTTAAAAGGAGGAAAGGCTTTTTGTGGATTAGTTTAAGTTTGGATCCATGCTCAGTTGGCCAGGTGGCTTTCATGGGGAAGCAGACAGAGCAGGAAAGTTGCTCATCTGATGGGGGCTGGAAGGAAGGAGGGAAGGGCCAGGGACAAAGTATACCTTTCAAGAGCACACTCCTGAAGACCCAAATTCCTCCACCTTGACTCCACATCCTAAAGCTTTCATAACTTCCCAATAGCCACTAAAGTTATAAGTGCATTAATGTCTTAATCCATTGATTAGCTCAGAGCCCTCATGACCCAGTCATCTCCCAAAGGCCCAACCACAGAATATTGCTGCTTTGGGGACCAAGCCTTCAATGCATGAGCTTCTGCAGGATATTTTGGATCCAGAGTGTAATACCTGATGACTTCTAGTGTGCTTTCCATCTCCCAATTTGCCCATTGTGGATACCTCATATAAATGGAATCAAACACCAGTTGTCCTGTAGTTGGCATCTGTACTTACAATGTTTTCAAGGTTTATTATGCTGTAGTGTACATTAAAATTTCATTCCTCTTTATGATGAAATAATATTCTATTATGTATATATACAGTATTTTGCTTCTGCAGTAATCTATTAATGCGCATGGGTTGTTTCAAACTTTTGGCTGCTATGAGTATTGCTGCATAGATATGTTACAGTCTGCTTTCAATTATCTTTGACATTCACATAAGAGTATAATTCTGAACCACAAAATGTTAATACAATAGACGTGCTGTGCATGTTTACATGAGTATGTATAGATACGTGTATGATTTTAGCTCTGTGTGTATGTGCTTTGTTCCATTTTATCCAGCATCACCCCCAGAATGATTTTTCACCTCTGTGGAGGTTGGGGGGGGTTACCCACATGGACAATGCAAACTATGTAGTAAAGACCCACAGGCCTCCTGCTACCAACAAAGTCTATAGGTGTGGACACACTGCTTAAAGGGTGAAGCCGGAAAATAAGGAAAGTGACTCCAGAACACATACACATAGAAAATAATCATTCTTCTCAATGTAATAAAGATAATTGTATTTCATTTGCTCTCCAAAGTTATTTGGCAAAGGAATGAACCCAGAATAAAATAGAGAAGTGTTACCAATAGTCATGTCAGGCCAAGACTGGAACACATATTCAACTAAACTTTAGAAAGCAATGGCGGTTGATAATGTCGCTATTCCCACTGAGCCAAAACCATCTCTAGCACAGACAGAATGGTTCCCAGTAAGAGTGCAAAATGGGTGGGGAGGGGTGTAATAAGTGTAGGGTCTGAAGATCAGAGAAGCAGGAAGCCTGGTGGCTGGTGGGCCAGAAGCGCACGCAGTTCATGTTCGTGCCCTGTTGAAAGGCGGTATGGCAAGACACCTGGCACTCGCTTGCTGAGTTTCATTCCAGGGTGATTGCCTAATGCTACATTGTTTCATTGTATAAAGAGGAGATTAAAAGATTGTATAACAGTATTAAATCACTCTGCAGTTTCTGATACCTGACCAAAACCTTTTAAGTGCCATTAAAGAGAAGACACCGCCAGGAAGCAGGAGACCAGGGAGGTGTGTTACTAAATGCAGTGTGGGGTCCTGAGGTGCATCCTAGGACAGAAGATGCAAAAAACGTTAGTGCCAGTGTTGATTTCTTGTAGTAAATGTCCCAGAATTGCAGATGTTATAAAGATCTTAACAAGGTGTGAGCAGGCTGGGGGTAGGACACACGGGAGCTCCCTGTTGGTGCGGTAGAGCAAGGATTTGTAATACAGAAACTTTGACATCAGTTGTAGCTGTGACTACATTTTTGTCTCTTTCCCAATTCCACGGCAGGGTGTGCTGGGTGCATCATGTCACTGGTATGTGGGTGTACCCTTTCCTGGAACACATTGGCTCAGGAGCCAGGATCATCTTCTTCGGATCGACAACCATCCTAATGAATTTCCTGTACTTACTGGGAGAAGTCCTGAACAGCTATGTCTGGGATACACAGAGAAGTAAGTATCATCTAGCACAGCATAAAACCAGGCAAAGGCCGAGAGAAAATTCCACAGCAGCCTCTTGATCTTTCACACAGCATCTCTTCTGGTTTCATTTTTTATAACAATATTAATTTAGGAGCTACTAGCAGTTTTACCTGGAAGGTTTACTGCTCACAAGGTCTTATCAGATAGTAAAACATCCAAACCTAAAGCAAGAAGCATGGCTATAAAATTTTATAGGGAAAGGTGAGCGTTAAATTGCTGCCTTAGTGAAAGCACCCAAATTAAGTAGTAAGTTCTTCAATGCAGTCTCATTAAATAACGTCACCACATCTCCACTTAATGTGTCATCTTCCTATAAACTCTAATCTCAAAGGGGTCTCATGACCACACAGTCACGACTCTAAACAGTCCAGGTGGCTGTCCTTTGTAAGATTTGAAGACCACAACCAGATGCAGGTAATAAAAGGTATATTTTATTACTGCAAAAGCTCCTGCTCTCTCAACCTTTGACTTGATTCCTCTTTTGTTTTCATTTATAGCAGAGTGTCCATCTTTTGCAAGACACAATCTTGTCCAATCTGGTGCAAAACCTGCCCAAAATATATGTAAAATAACATAAATACTGGAGTGGAAAGGCAAGAGCACAGACATGTAGAGATCCTGCATGAAAATCTATTCTGAGGATGCTGTGAGGATTTCAGAGAGCTCTGGACATCTCCTTGGACACAGTCCACCATACTAGACATCATCTGTAAGTGGACTCTGGTCCACACACATTGAGCCGCTGACTGTGTGCTGGCCACTGTGCAGAGCTCAGTCTACTAGACTGTTTCTGTGTATGAACCTTCTGGAACTGTATGAGTCAGTATGTCAGTCAGTGCTAAATGGCTCCCGGCACTTGAAGGTTTCTTTTCTAAGCAGCTTTTGGTCTTGATAAGGAAAACAAAAGTATGTCCAATGCTTTAATCTTGTTCAGATCACAGAAATTAATGTATTCATAATATTTCCATTCAATGGAAGTAGTAATCTTTTTCTCTTAAATTCTAGAATTATTTGATTAACTTACAAAATTTTGTAATAATTGTTGTTTGGTTTTGGGTTTTTCAGACACGGTTTCCCAGTAGCCTCAGCTGGCCTGGAACTCACTATGAAGACCAGCCTGGCCTCTGTCTCATGGGGATCTGCCTATCTCTGCCTCCTGTGCTGGGATGAAATAAATGTACCACCATGCCCAGCCTACAAAAATGTTTTTAAAACAAAATGCAAACTTTCCCCAGCTTCTTGAGAGAAAGGCTGTATTTTGATTTAAGCCAATATGTGCAGTCCAGGGAAAAAATATGTGACTGCCTGTGTCGTCTTCCTGTGCTTGATTGTGGCCAACATCTGGCATTCTTCTGCTACTGCTGTGAGAAGACAGCCTGCACACCAGGAGAGATAAATAATCTAGACTAAACGAATATTGCTTATTAGCAGCCTTCAATGAAGAGTTAAAGAATGAATAGTTGCACTGAGTTTTTTGAACTATCTGTTCAGCTTATCTAGTCTGTGCTGTTTTCTTAAATAGCATGTGTAAGGGTTGGTCACTGTTTTGTAAATCATTTCTGTATATAGATTAATTCTGGCTACATTTTTTTAGCTGAACTCACGGAAGCTGGTGTCTGTGTCAAGTCAGCATATTCCCATTGATGACTTTCCCCCAGTTATGTAGGGGGTTCATGTGTGTGTGGGCACACATACCCATGTGTGTGGAAGGCAGAGGACAACCTCAATATCATCTCCAGTCACCATCCACGTTTTTTGAGACAGGATCGTTGATTGTCTGGAACTCACCAAGTAGGCTAGACTGGCTGGCCTTGAACCTCAGGGACCTTCCACCCCCCAGCACTGGGATTATAAGTACAAATGACTATGTCTAAGTTAAAAAAAAAAAAAAAAAGTGGGTTCTGAGAACCAATCTCATTTCCTTGTACTTACAAGGCAAGAGTTTTAATGACTAAGCCATCCATCCCAGCCGCTTCCCATAAATTTTACCCAACTAGAAGTTCCATTATGCCTGCATAGTGGGATTTTTGTCTATGAATCATGAATCAATACCTAAAAATTGGAAGACTTCAATAAGGCCAGACTTCCTCTCCTTATAAAATATAAGATCCTTTAAGATCTGATGACAGCGTGCCCACTATTTCTCTGTCAACAGTGGATTTGAATTCATTGTCAGTTGCCACCTTTAGATGACCCTCTAATTTCCCTCTAATTCTCCCCTGGCTCTTAACTCAGTCACTTTAGTTTCTTAGCTCTATCAGTAGCTGAGGTGTGTGTGTGTGTGTGTGTGTGTGTGTGCATGTATGCGTTGGAAATGATGGTGTAAAGTATAAAATACTCATTACCACATGCTAGGTACTATAAAATCCCCCAAGAAAAAGAAATACTATACTTAGGCCACCCTTCTACATGCCATAATAGTTTTCAACGTCTCAAATTCCCTGACTTGGTTATGTTCCAATTTCAAGATAAAAATCACATTGTTACAGAAAGCATAGGAATCCTCATCTAATTCTATCCTTTCCCTCCACAAAGGCAGCTGAGGACCATTGCCTTAAGTGAGCTACAGAAAGACTTGTTGGCAGAGCCAATGTTTTCAACCCAAGGTTCAGTCCCCTATTATTTCTAGTGAACTATCAGACTATGTACATATTTGGGAACTACGGACACATGCGATCTCAGAGACCTCAGAACCACAGACCTACCACATAAAATACCAAAAAAGGCCTTTCTGCTAGGAAATACAAACTTTAAAAAGCCTTTTAAAGTAAGCTAAATTAGCTGGTGGGCATTTGCTCTTTTTCAAAAAAGTAACTCAAGATGACTTTGCAGGAACTGTTTGAGTTTGCCAGAGCCGCTGTAACAAAACATCACAAGCTAGGTGCCTTAAACAATAGGAATAGGTTGACTTGTAAATATAGAAGTCAGAAGTCCAAAATCAAGGTGTTGACAGGATTGGTTCCAAAAGTGATCATCAGTTGAAAAGTCTGCTCTCCCCTACTGGACTCATCTTCACGCCCAGTGATGCACTCTCTCTGATAGGGTCTCCCAGTTTCCCCTTTTAAGGACACCAGTCAAGTCATATTTCATGAGATTCACTCAAAGGGCTTCATACTAACTTCATGACGACTTTATCCATGCAAGTCACATTCTGAGGCATTAGAGAATTCAACAGAATGAATTCCAAGGACTAAATAATCCAGCCTGTGGTATTCCACCTCCTAAAATTCATATCTTTCACACATGTGAAATGTATTCACTCCATCCCATTGGCCCAGAAAGTCATTCTGACATCAACTCTTAAATCCAAAAATCTCACCTTAAAAATGATATAAACCAATTATGGGTGAGACTCAGGTCATGATTCATCCCAAAGCAAAACTGTTCTGCATCTAGCTTCATGTGAACCTCTGAAACCAGACCAAATCATACCTGCTTCTAAAATGGGATCTTGGGGTCAGGCATGGGCTGTGCAGGCACCTTCCAAAAAGGAGAGTTGAAAGGGGAGAAAGGGATCCTTGTTCCCAAGCAAGTCACAAAGCAAGCACAGGAAATTCCCTTCCATTTGAAGGCCTGAGAATAATTAATTTGGCTTGACTGCTGTGGCTCCAGGGCTCACAAGGAGGGGCCCTGGCCCTGCCTTCCAGGCCCTGGGAATAGCAGCTCCACACCTCCCTCAATCCTGGGCAGGGAAAAGGAGGCCCTCTGGAACCAAGGAGAAGCTAGTGCCTGAGCGTCTTTGCATCACTGGTCCTTCATTTCATACTGTCTCTGAGCCTTGAGTTCAGGCTGGTAGTGTTTCTGCCAGTAGAGAACTCTCATAAACAGGGCTGACCTCTCCTGCAATTCAATGACATCTATGCCATCAAAAAGGGACCTTCACAAGTGTTTCCTGGATGACTGCCTCTCCTTCTGGCTTCTGCAGAGGTGATTGATTGGACCCATGAGTCAGATTCCTGATTTCTTTACGGAACAATTATCCAGCCACACCTTTGGCATTCTCTCACATTCTGAGGTACCGTGGGTCAGGACTTCAGCATATGAATGAACAGTTCAACCCACAACACCTAAATCATGTTAGTCCTTCAGCAAAGACTCTTTTCTAACTCCAGTGACTCTGTCCGAGGTAATGATTGACCTTATCAGGGTCAAATTTTAAAAGATCAGAAATGATAGCGCTCAGAAGTGAAAGGCTGATGGACACAAAGGCAGCGAGTGTGGGCAACAGGGAGCCAGGGGAGGAGGTTAGGCTCAGGCAGAAATACACCTTCTCCGGCTGCCCATCCAGCTTGCAACACCCACCAGCAGGTGCCCCAGTCTCTCTGTCAGAGCACCGCTCCGAGTGGAGCCCCTCTTCCTGCCTGGGGATGTGTGTGGACACCTCCCTCGGGGCCAATCAATCTTGGCACCTGTATTCCACAGACGCAGCCTGCCTCCGCTCTCTTTTGGGTTTCTTTCTGCTTTTTGTGTGAAAATACTTCTTGTGTGGAAACACTATTTGCAGCTGTGTACTTTTTACCCTCTACCTCATAGCTGCCAAACCAAAGAAAGTGGAGAACCATTTCTCTTTCTAGGTCAACAAAGTCTCTGTTCTCCACGTTGATTTTGAAGACTTCACCATTGATGCCATATCAACCCATCAGCAGAATGTTCTGGAGAAACCAGTTTTAAGAATTTTAAGGAAAAGCAAACTTTTTTACATCCCCACCCCCACCCCCAACTTATTTACTCCGGTGGAGAGAACAGGAGACAAATGGGGACTCAAGGCCTGCGCACTGTTGGAATGGAGCCAGTGCTGTTTCTGCCTTTGCCTTAGGCACCTACGCAACAATGCAGGAGCACTGTATAGGCGCCTCCTCCTCTTCCCTTCATAAGCCCTTGTTCCCCAGCGTGAGGTTTCCCTCACATGATTTATGTGAAATATTTTGGAAACAGTGTTCTAGATCTCTGCCAGTTCTTTAGCTTTGAAACCTGAACACTGAAAGGACACCTGCTTGGAGCATGTACCCAATTCTGCAGCCTCTTCCTGACCCCATGAAACTACCACTAGGATCTGGAGTGGGACTGGGTGGGAGAGGAGTGATCCTAATGTAAGCTCTGTAATAGTGGAGACCCCAAGAGACTGGACCTCATGATTTATCATTGTGGGGTCCTATATTTTGGATTATTGCTTTTCTACTAGTCCAGCCTTCTGAGGCCTCCTCTATGTGTGTTTATTACTTAGCAAAGATGAGCTGAGTTTCTACTATGAAATGGACACTGTTAGGTGCTAGGGATGTAATTGGAAACAAAATGGTTATAAGGCTCTGCCTTCAGAGAATTAGAAATTTATAAAAAAAAAATACAAAGACTTGCAAAGCATTATTTTGAGCTCTGTTGCTATTGAAATAAATACACACACACACACACACACACACACATCTCTTGAGAACTTGGTAATTTAGAAAAAATGTTTACCTAGTTACAAAAGAAAAAAGAAGCAGGTGGTATTACCAGATTTAACTCTAACTCATGGGAACAACCTGAACATTTTCATCTCTAGAAAATGAAACATCACTGACTGTTCACTACAGGCAACAGTCAAAGTCTTATTGGTCCATTACATAGAGCCCTGCAGGGAAAACAGATCTATCTGGGCTGATGACTACCGGGAGAACTTAGGTTTCAGTATGCACAGGTATGGAGCCAGGAGTGCAGCTCAGGGGTAGAGTACTTTCCAGGGTTCTGTTCCCAGCATGGAGGGAAAATTTTTAAATACATATAAGTCTGTAAATAAACAGAAACAGTTATTGTGCTTAATAAGAGCCCCATGAGCTTAAGAAAAAATAAAAATAGGGGCTGGAGAGATGGCTCAGCAGTTAAAAGCACTGGCTGTTCTTGCAAAGGACCCAGGGTTCAAGTCCTAGCACCTACATGGTGGCTAACAACAGTCCCTAACCCCAGTTCCAGGAGAATCTGATGCCCTCTTCTGACTTCTGCAAGCATTGCTCAAGGGTACACTTACATACATGCAGGCAGTACACATAAAAATAAATAATATATAGAAATTTATTTTAAAAAAGAAAGATTGCTAGGCTTTTGGAAATCCAGAATCCTGTCCTTGGGAATGGACAGGAAGAAGTGAAAAATAAATGAAGTGGTTTAAATGCTTTGTAGTTCCTGATGCTCAAAGGGGGTAAAGCAGCAATCGGGCTGGCGGTCTCCATCCTGCAAACCTCAGAATCATCTCTCAGGGGCCTCACTCCCAGAAGCAGGCAGAGCTGCCTGTGCTGCAAAAATGTTGGGAAAGGGTGGGGAGAGAGGTCACTGAGGGTGTTTCTAGAAGACACTGTAAATGGCTTTTCTTAAGAGAAAGGGGTAGGGACAGGAGGGTCGGGGAGGAAAGAGTGGGTGGTGAGAGCTTCTCTGAGTGCTTTCCTTGTATTTCTAGGTATGGAAGAAGAGAAAGGAAAGCCTAAGCTGGAATAAGATCCGAGTCTAAGGAACTGCCATTGATTCTCTTGGCCCTGGGCACCAACAGTGAGGAGAAAACCTCTAAGGAAGCAGAGGCATCAGCCTTCCCCCTGACCCCGAGGGAGGACACCTTTTATAGACCAATATGTACACAATAGCAGACACAGCTTTCCCATAACTTTCCCTCATTGTTTTAAAGTACTTTCTCCACATTCCTTACGGATGACATCTTTTCCCCCTTTTCTAATTTTAAAACTAAAATTGGTCATTGAATTTTCATTTCTGCAATAACTCCATTTAATCACAGAAAAATAAAATTGGGTTGTGTTTCTTGTTGAGGAATATGGTAAAGTTAAAGGGGCAGATGTGGATCGAGGCATTCATATTTAGTCCTAAAGGCGGCTGGTATCATAACCCGGGCCACAGTGTGGGCCCAAGAGGAGGCAGGATAGATGGTTCCTATGGTCGCAGAGTCACAGTCGCCTCAAATGAGCAGTGGTAGACATGGCATCACTTTAACCAAGACCCTATTTAATCTTATGAAACTTTTTCTACATGCAAACCTTATCTTTAATAAAGTCCTACCAACCCCAAACCTTGTGTTTTGCATGGTTCATCTCAAAATCTGGCATGTCTCTTTTTATTTTGTTTCTGTTACCTGCCTGTTGCAAGTAGGTTTCCCATACTTGATTCATTCCTATTGTTTTTTGGTTTTAAAATTGGTATTTTTTCATGATTTCAGAAAGAATGCTTTTTTAAAGCTAATTTATAAAAATATTGTTTTAAAGGTAGAAAATATATAAATTATAAAATATTCATTTATATAAACATGTGTTGACTATATATGCTAAGATAGATCAATGAGTGATATAAAGTCATTTATCCTAAAACCTATTACTAAGTTTTACTTGGAAATATAATTTAGAAAGTGCTAGAAATCCACACCCCTCCCAGATAGGCACATACACATACATTTTATTTCTCTTTTCTTTCTACATGCATTTCATAGAGAAACCTGATTACCCACATTGACTACTGGAAAGTGCTCAGTGTCACCCTGAAGAGAGATGCTTCTAGGAGGCTCCTGGCAATTTATAGATAATTCAAAGAAGAATGCTTTAGCACTAAATGTATTTATACCTTACAGAACATATACCCAATTTCAGCATGCTATTTTGTTAAAAATTTCAACCAAAGAAGAAAAGTTCAGTTAATAACTATGCTTACATAGAAAACTAACACATAGCATAAAATATTATGAAAGAACTCCAAACATATCAGCATCAATGAACGTAAAAGGATTTGTGTGCTGAGAGAAAAAGATTTTCAGACCCTATCTAAAGGAAAACACAACTCTACCTTATGTGTTGCAAAACAAACAAAATGGATTAATCCTGAAGATTGTAAAGCTAGGCAGAAATACACCTGGAAGTGGTAAACAAAGACTTCTGGATTCAGACCTGAGTCCCTGATGGGAAACTCAGTGGTTATATGCCCAGTTCGTGGTTGACAGAAATATAGCTGGCAGCTGGAAGGATTGCCATGCTGGCTCCCTACCTCATGGAGTTGGAAGTAGTAAGTAGGAAAGATTATTCAGAAATCTACTGAAACAAAAAAGTAAAGCAATTCCACAACCTTGGCATACCTGCTATAACTTGATAGTGTCATTAACAAAGACTGGAAGGATCTCAAGTTGGTGGTTACCATCACAACTCCATTTAATTTACCTATTTGGGGTTAGTCAGTGTGCTGGATAGCTTTAGTGTCAACTAAAGGGAGCCTCAATTGGGGAATTGCTTCCTTTGAACTGGCCTGTGGCCATGTCTGTGGGACATCTTCTTGATTGTTGAGTGATATGGGGGGGCCCAGCCCACTGTGGGTGGTGCCACCCCTGGGCAGGTGGGCCTGTGTTGCATAAGAAAGCAGGCTGAGCAGGAGCCAGGGGAGCAAGCCAGTAAGCAGCATTCCTCCATGACCTGTGCTCCAGCTCCTGCTTCCAGGTTCCTGCCCCTGAGTTCCTACCTTGGGCTCCCTAATGAACTGTGACCAAGGATATGTAATATAAAATAAACCCTCCCCCCCCCAAGTTAGTACTGGTCAGAGTATTTTGTCACAGCAACTGAGGAACAAACTAGAACAGTCAGTTTGTTTGTTTGCTTTGAGACAGCATCTCTTGTAGCCTAGGCCAACTTCAAATTTGTTATATAGCTGAGGCTCATCTTGTATTCCTGATCCTCCTGCTTCCACCTTCCAAGTGTTGGGATTACAGGTGCGGGCCACCAGTTTAGCTTCCCAGTTGAATCACATTACAGCTCGAGTTGCATTCCCTAGAATTAGTGTGTTCAAACCTTAACTCCTAGTACCTCAGAATGCAACTATATTTGGTGATAACACCTTTTGAAAAGAGATTAAGTTAAAAAGAAGCCATTGGGATGGAGAGATGACTCAGTGATTAAGAGCACTGGCTACTCTTGCAGAGGACTTAGGTATGATTCTCAGTACCCACATGGCTGCAAACAGACATCTGTAACTCCAGTTCCAGGGGATCCAACGCCCTCTTCTGACCTCCGAGGGCATTGCAGGATACAGGTGCTCTTACATACACGCAGGCAATACACTCACATAAAATAAAAGTAATAAATAAAATATTTTTAAATGAGGCAATTGAAGCACTAATTCACTCTCATCAGAATCTTTATAAGAAGTAGAAATCTGGACACACCAGGGATTTGCAGAGGAAAGTTGGAGGAGCAACTGTAAGTCAAGAGGAGAGTTCTAGAAAAATTTAATGCCTCTATCTTGAACTCCAGCCTCCAGAACTGTAAGGAAATAAACCTCTGCTGTTTGTATTACTCTGGCATTTTGTTATGGAATGCCTAATAAACTACCACTGCCTATGTATGAAAGAGTGATAGGTTCTGAAGAATAATAGTGAGTCATAATAAACTTACTTAGTTGATGATTCCATTCAACAGGAATTGTTCCAGAAGATTCATTTTGCTAGAGTAAATCAATACAAACCCTGGTTTGTGGAATGAAGCTATTAAGCTTTTCTTTTGCTTTGCAAGCCCAGCAGTGTGCCTTCACTGTATTTTTAAGGCTATTTTAATTGTGTCTCCATATCAGTGACCTTGATTGTCTAATCCTCCATGGAACATCAAGCTTTTATTACACTGGTGATATCATACTCCTTGCAGGATGCAGCAAGTACCCTGGATACCTCAGTAAGCCACATGCATGCCAATAGATAGTAGATACATGGCACCTTAAGAAAAAATCAGAGGCCACCCATGTTTGTGAAGTGTCTAGGCCTCCAGTCATCTGAAGAAGACAAGTCAGTGTACAGTGATATCAAATGGTCTCCTTGTATATGCATTATCACTGGGAAAATGGCATATTGATTGGTGCATCTTCTTGGATTCTGAAGGAAACGTATCACACTATGTGGGTCTTTATCCCTTGACAGTCAGAGAAAATTTAAGAGCTTATAAACTCAAATGAAGAGAAAATGGTCATCATTTCTGAAGATACGATTTTAAACAAACACACACAAAATCTGCCTCAATTATTTCTTAAGACTAACAAAATACCATCCCCCCTCCACAACTTACTGAAAATAACATTGACTTAGCTTGCAAATCTGCCACTTGAACAGGTTTTGATAGAATAAACTTGTCTGTTGGCTACTGGTATCTGCTGGAGTGATTTGAAAGCTGGGGCTAGAGCCACCTGAAGGCTGACTGGCTTGTATGTCCACTGTATTAGTTACTTTTCTGTTGCTATGATAGAAACACTGATCCAAGCAATTTATAGAAGGAAGAGTTTATTTGAGCTTACGGTTCCAGGGGAATTACAGTCCATCATGGCAGGGAGGCATGGCGGTAGAGGTGGCTGGAGAAGGAGTGGAAGCTAAGCTCTACATCTTGCAGCAGGCAGAGGAAACAAGAGAGCAACTAGAGATCTGGCAAGGCTTAAGAAATGCTGCTGCTCAGGTGACACTATGATTTTCCACATGACTCCTCAGCTTCATCCCATGTGATTACCTATCTTTTTTTTTTAATCAGAACATTTATTTCATTCTTCTTTTTACCGACCCATATGATAAAATTCAAAGAAATTTTCAGATACTGATTTTCAGATACTGTAGTCTTATGTTAATTTTTAGTTAACCTACAAAATAATGGATTTCATTATGACATTTTCACAAATATATATCATGCACTTTGCTCATGTCTGCCCATCCCTTTTTCCCTCCTTTGTCCCTCCTTTCCCCATGCCTCTCATTTTTATGTTGGCTTTGTAACAACATGGTGGCTGGGCCCCAGCAGACCCAGGTGAGTAGTGTATCTCTTAATATGACTTAACATCAGAAATCACACCTTTTTTTGCTGTGTCACAGACCTGCCCAGAAGCAAGAGGAGGGAACACAGAACCCAAATCTTGATAGAGTATCAATGTTACATGCTAAAAAGAACTCTATGAGATTAGGTAACTAGATGTGGACATGGACTCATCCCCAAAGTAAGCTGGATGATGACTTGAAAATTAAGACAATTTAATAAGGCACGAAAATATAAAACTACCATATGCTAACTAGTATTTTTCATATATTCAAGTACTAATAGGAAATAGTGGAAGAAAAGGTCCCACTTGCTATAGCAATGAATTTACAAAGAAATTTATAAAACAAATGATGCAAGATAGGATTTTACAAATGGAAACATCTGAGAAATCATAAGCATACCAAGGCTCAAGTTACTTTATAAATTCAGTGTGAACTTAATAAAAGCACTAACCATTTTATTTATGTATTTATTAAACTATGTAAGTTGGTCCTAAGCCACATGCAAAAATTTACAAATAAAAGACATTGAGGAAGACATCAGAAGATGGAAGGACCTCCCATGCTCATGGATTGGAAGAATTAATATTAATAATTAAAATGACCATCCTACCAAAAGTCATTTATAGATTCAACACAATGCCAATCAAAATCCCCATGACATTTTTCACAGAATTGGAAAAAAACATCTTTCACCTTGCACAAAAGTCAATTACAAATGGCTCAAAGACCTCAATATAAAGCCTGAAACTCTGAAACTATTAGAAGAAAACATTGAGAAAAACCTACAAGATATAGGTATAGGAAAGAATTTTCTAAACCAGACATCAATTGCTCAGGAAACAAGGGCAAGAATTAACAAATGGGACCTCATTAAACTAAAAAGCTTCTGTACATCAAAGGAGGCAACCAGGGAAGCAAACAGAAAACCCACAGAATGGGAGAAAACCTTCACCAGCAACACATCCAACAGAGGTTTAATATCCAGAATATATAATGAACTCAAAAAACAGAGAACCAAGACAAGAAGCAACCCAATTAAAAGAAGGGCTAAGGAGCTGAACAGAGAGTTCTCAAAAGAAGTAAAGATGGCTATGAAACATCTTAAGAGATGTTCAACATCACTAATAATTAGGGAAATGCAAATTAAAACCACTTTAAGATTGCATCTTACCCCAATCAGACTGACTAAGATCAAGAGAATAAATAATACCAAATGTTGGAGAGGATGTGCGGAAAGGGGAACACTCATC